TTCTTCTTAGCAGCGTCCATCTCAAGGTGGATTTTGCTGGTCTGGGCAGTGAAAGCAAGTGAAGAATGAATGTTTTATCTCAAGAAGGAAATTACCTTCATGAACAATCAGAATCAGTACTGTGAAAGCTCAGGCAGTGCCCTCAGGTGGCTTATCCTGACCTCCCTGCCCCGGACTTGAAACCATTTATTTGTTCCCTATTGTGTGAGTGTCACTGCCACTGGATAGAAAGGAAAGGACTTTGCCTTCTTACTGCTCATTCTACACCTGCAAACAATATAGGAACCAGCACTCAAATGCTCTTTCAAAAAGGAGGGGGAGCCCTGACCGGTTTGGCTCAGTGGATAGAGCATTGGCCTGCGAACTGAGGGGTCCTGGGTTCGATCCCAGTCAAGGGCATGTACCTTGGTTGCAGGTGCATCCCCAGTGTGGGATGTGCAGGAGGTAGCTGATCAATGTTTCTCTCTCGTCGGTGTTTCTTACTCTCTATCCCTCTCCCTTCCTCTCTGTGGAAAATCAATAAAATATATTTTTGAAAGGAGGGGAAAATTATGGTGAATGAATGAGTGAATGATACATAATCTCTACAGACTGGCACCTGGATGCAGAGTGCTAGGAGGTTTTGGCCACAACTGTCCCCTGTCCTCAGGGGTTGAGAGCCATGTTCATCCCTCTGAACCCATGACCCAAGGAGTCAAGGCCCATGATGACTGTGGTGCGCTTCCACTGTGAGAGGGTCTTCCTGACTGTACTGGTCCTGCCTTGGGCAGATGTGGGTTCCTGGTACCTAGAGTCTTTGAAATGACCGGTAACTACTTGTCCATTCGAAATTCCAAAGCTTTTTCTTTCATTAATGAGGTAACTGAATCTTTGGAACACATCATGAGCATGTCTGTGCCCTTCAGTCCCAGGAATGACTTCAGACCTGGAAGGCTGGCTTCTCACAGAATCACAGACCTGATATGAGCCAACCCCACACCCTTAAGGAGTACTCGTGGGCAAGGAGCCTCTGCACCAGTGCCCAGCCCCCTTTTCATTCCAATGTCAGCACCCTGGAACCAGATTGTCTGGAAGGATGTCTGAGAACGCACACATCCAAGGGGGTGGGAAGCAATGAGACCATTCTGCTGGGTTGGGACCAGGAAGAGCTCCAACACTGGGGACAACACTTTCACCATTCAAGAACACAGGAATGAAACAGGTCGTTTTAAAAAGCTTTTTATATATATAATTTGAAGTAAAGACATTTTGAAGTTCTATGAATACTGTGGTAGGGACAATCGTTGTTCCATATAGATATGCTGAGGTTTATCCCTAGAAAATGTGACTGATACATTTCCTGACAGAAGGCACTTTGCACCTGTGACAAAGTTATAAGTGGTTTAATGAAAATATTGCTTCCTACATATAATCTTAAGTTTGCTTATGAAAGAGAGAGAGAGAGTCATGAGGAGATCAAACAAGAGTGGGTAAAGGCTGATATGGCCACGGGAGCTGGAAAGGAAGGCATGTGATGTAAGGACATGAGCCAGGAATGAAAAAAGGCTCCAGAAACTTGAAAAGGCAAAAGTAGATTCTCCCAGAGAATCTGGGAGACAGAGTCCTGCAGACACACACCAGATTCCAGCACAGTGACACCCATTTTTGGATACTGGTCTCCAGGACTTTTAAAGATTGTGTAAACAGGCTGGATGTTTTATCCACTCAGATACACTTTGGAGACACCCAGATAACTACCTGCTCCCTTCCTAATCCCTTGTCTGTAATATCCTGCACAGCCTCCATAGGTTGGCACAACAGGACAATGGAAAACTTTAAGGTCTCCTCACTAATATTGGCAGAAACACTAACCAAATTAAATGTGTGATAGATGACCAATGAGATGATAGAGAGCTGAAGGACCCTAACCTCCAACATTGTTGCAATGCCACATGCATTTTCCCCTCACATGAAAGGGAGCAGATGCACAAATCTTTCAAAGATCTTCTGTTATAGAACCTTGATTGTGTATGAGATGTAAAAACTCCTTGAAATGGCAATGGGATGGAGCCTGAATGCTACTAGATGCCAACCTGGACACGCAGGCTCCACCCCAACAACTTCAATGCCCTGTGATCACTCAGAGCCCTCTAGGGAAGCACACACAACACTGCAAAAATTTATGTCCTCATCGGATAGTTTTCTTTGTCTTCTTCACAAATTCCATTTGCCTGTCCCAATGAGAGTTCACACGCAGGGTACTGGGAAATGGGAAATTAAATCTACTTTCTGTGTTCTGTTGGGCTCTGTCATCTTGGATTGGCCTCTGAATATAGAGCAGAAACCTAGAGAGACCTGTGGGTCAGATGTCCTTTAGAAACCGGGGGCTGCCAAGGGTGGCAGAAAGGGTAAGGTCCTGGACAGAGTAAGGAGCGTAACTATAACCATTGGGTAAGTAGGATGGAGAGAAAGGTATCTGGTGTTAGTGTTATGGTAAGACAGTTAGTCAGATCACACAGCAGCCAGCAGCAGGGTGTCCACAGCCTAGCTGGCCACTTCAGAGGGGCAGGCCATGCAGGGCTGCATTGGGATCCACTAGTGCTCCAGTCTCCAACCAGATCCCTGGGATGTCAGGGTGCTGTGTCCCAGACCACAAGGTGGGCTGAGATTTGTGCCATCTGCAGGATTCCTGTGTGCAGCTGAGCACCCTTCTGCCCACTGACCCTGATACTGTTGATAGGCATGGAACACTAGGGATTCTCAGCCATTCACCAAGATGGATAAGGGGGAGTTTCTTATACCAAGTGCACCAAAAGCTAGAAAGATGAATGCATAGGGCCCAAGCAGGAAGGCTAAGAGCTTGCAAGCTAATTAGAAGGGGGTGGGGCAAGCCCTTACCTCCATATTGCTATTGGACTCCAGTTTTGAGAAGGAAGAAGGCAAGCTCTTTGAGAGGTCAGTCCATCATCCTCCCAGGCGTGGAACCTAAATGAGTCTCTTTCCTTTTGCACCAGCACCTTTCTCATGAGTTTGGCTTTTGTTGCAGCAGGTGCCCTAACCTGTGTTTTGGTCACATTAGTCTTGGTTTAGGATGAAGAGAATATAGGAGGACAAGGGAGAGGTCAGGTTGGCAGGCACAGGCTGAGGACTCCAGCCTGCAGAAGGGTAGGGAAGGCAGGCGGGCTGGTGTTGGGAGGAGCATAAGGGCTATAGTCCAGGGATTACAATGTCCACACTGAGGGCCAGGGTTGTCAGTGTCCAGCTTTGTCAGGGAGAGACTGTCTCTGGGGTTGTGAGGATGAGGAGTGTTGTCTGAGTCTGGCAGTTTCAGCTTTCCCTGGAAGCACCATAGAAACCCAAAATGCCACTTTACCAGACCTCTGATCCTGAGACTGCAATTGGAAGTAAGTGCTCACAAATGAGGCACCACACGGGTTTTGGGGTGCCTGGTGGAAGAGGATAGAGTGGTATAGTGTCTTTGCAGCCTACTGAGCCCCAGGGATTGAGGAATGGGGTGAGTGACACTTGGGGACCCAGAACTTTAGATGTCTGTTGTAAACGTGGGGCTAAGGCCTCTGCAGATATAAGAGCTATCTGCAAGGTTTTCTTTCTTCTTACCTAAAGGAACTCTGCAATGAAATGTGCTCTTGTCCACAAAGCATGCCCACTCTTGCATTGTTTTCCCAGAAGGCTGGTAGGGTACTACAGCAATTGATTCAAAAGCTGTGTATTTAAAGGAACCTGCACAGATTAGTTCAGTTGTCAAGACTTTTCCCCACCAGGAGCATGAAGCTCATGGCTCTTCAGGCATTGTCAGCCACCTGAGGAGGTGCTGACAATACCTGAAGTAGGGGAAGACATGGGCCTCTTGCATCCCAGTGACCCAAAACATGACATCTGGAAGCCTTTGGGAGGTTTCTCTATGTCCCATTCATTCTATTGTTTTAGCCTCTAGACTAGGGGTGTCGAACTCAATCAGAGAAGGGGCCAAAATCTAAAATTCAGCCTAAATCGCTGGCCGAATGGTTTACTGAACAGTCATAAACTGTCATTGTGATGGAAACGCAGAGGAGTGCAGTGATGACAGCGCGGTGCGGGCCACATTGCAAGGCCTGGCGGGACGGATTTGGCCCGCGGGCCTTGTGTTTGACACATGTGCTCTAGACTCTCATTTTTACTCTGGTTCATTTCCATGTCCCTCCCTTAAATGAGAGGATGCCTCTCAAACCACCCACAGTCTGGACTCAGCCGAGAGATTCTCCATTGAGCCAGGTGGTCAGCAACATCACTCAGGACTCTTAACTCCTCAATTTTAGCCTTTGGACTTACTTTTCCCAAGCTCTCTAAGCCCAATGCAGCCTCCAGCTCCTCAGCAGGTAACCTCATTACCCACGGTGATAGTCTTCTGTCAAAGTCTCTGCTCTGCCCCATGAGCCCATCCCAGTTTTAGACAGACCTCACTACAGACACAGGCCTTACACTGTTTCCTCTTTACCAAGACTTTATTTTATTCAGTTTCAAAGCTGTGTAGTAGTCAGGCAATCAAATTCAGTAAAATCATGAAGGCAAAAGTTGCTGCAAAAATATTTTCAATAAGAGATATTTTTATTTTGTGATTATATGTAAATCAGTAAATTAGTTTAGATGCAATTCATCCAGGAAGTAAAGTCGTTGCTCACTCATAAGTGATCATTGTTTTCCATGATCATTTATTATTTTTTCTTAAGTGACACTAGTATAGATTGGCTCATGAAGATTCTTCTTCCTAAAGAAATGAATGATATTTTTCATATGTTTAACAAACTGGGTTTCAGTAACAGCAGCGATCTTTCTCATTACAAACTTAAGAACAGTTTCAACTGCAAACATAGTTACTTGTTTAATGACCTTCATTAACTTGCTATTTTGATATGTTATTAATTTCTCTGGTAAAAATGGCATCATGGTATTCATTACAAATAGACTACATATATTGACTAAATATTTCATAAGCAGGTATTGAATGAATGAAATTATCATACCTTTGGAAAACATGATGACTAGGTAACTTCAGTCTCAGCCGTGACTTCAAACCTGGTGACAGTTGTTCTGTGCTGGGTCTTAATTTATCTAAGTGACTGAAAACAGAGGCCACTATCATGAGCATAAAAGCAATTTGGTTCTCAATTCCCTTGGACAGGAGCCGCACTGCTCACCTAGCTGAGACATAGCAGGAATGCGGGGCTAAGCCTGAGCTGTGATTGTGTGATTTCCCAGTAATGGCTCCAGAAGTAAACTATTTAACATTGTCTAATTTAACAGAAAAACCCCGGTGTGCTTGAAAGGGAAATATCCGCTTGGTGTGAGAATTAAATAAGGAGGTAGTTGCACCTCAGTGAAGTTGAACATGTGATTCTTCTAATTATAAAACACATAAATGTTAACATAAGTGTTAATTTTAGAATGTTGAGATTGCCTAAAATTATAAAGATTTTATTAAGATAAGGAGCTAGTTAGCTGTCATATGAGAAACTCACTCCCTAGTAAGTTATTCACAATCTGTAGGAATTGGTGGACCAATTATGTGAAAATATTTAAAATGCAACTCAGAGCCAGATCACTATTTTGTTTTAAAATTCAAAGCCAGATCACTACTTTAAAAAAAAAAATTTTTTTTCAAATCAAATGGCCATATTATAATGAATATTATAGGCCCGGTGCACTAAATTCATGCACAGTGGAGGGGGAGTCCCTCAGCCCAACCTGCACCTTCTCCAATCTGGGAGCCTTCCAGGGATGTACAACTGCCAGTTTAGGCCAGATCCCTCTCGCAATCTGGGACCTCTGGCTCCTAACCGCTCACCTGCCTGCCTTCACTACTCTGCCTGCCTGCCTGATCCCCCTAACTACCCTGCCTTGCCTGCCTAATTCCTCTAATTGCCTTTCCCTGCTGGCCTGATCCCCCACTAACTGCCCTGTCCTGCCAGCCTGGTCACCCCTAACTGCCCTCCCCTGACGGCTTGGTTGTCCCTATTAACTTTTTTTTTTTTTTAATATATCCCCTCCACACACAATTGTATTTGACTTCTTTATTGGCTTCTCCCTGTCACATAATTTTTCTTTCTCCTTTAAGTGACATTTTTTCCTACTGACTAATCATTTATAAACTTTTCTTTCCTCCTTATTTCCTACTTCTGTCCCATCATCCTTCTTCCCATCTTTCTCCTACCCTCACTCCCTCCTCTTTTCCTTTCTTCCCACCTTAATTTTTTTCTTCACTTCTTCCCTCAGACCTGCTTTGTTCCCTCCCCCATTTCTTCCTTCTTCCCATTCTCCTTTTAAGCTCTTCCGACTCCCCTTTAAAACTTTTCTTCCCTCCCTCTTTCTCTCCCATCCACATTTTTCTCTCCCTACTTCCACTGTTTTAATATCTATCTACTTGCCTAATTATTCACTATCATTTATCTTTTTTCTTTCCTGACTCCTACTTTTAAAATCTATCCCCAGTACACAGCTATACTAGATTTTTATTATAGCTCCTACAATTCACTCACACATCCTCTTTCTTTCTTTAACTCTGCTCTCTAATGACTCCTTTATAAAGTTCTTCCCTCCCTCCTTCCCTTCTTAAAGCTTCCGTTGGGGGATTGAGGGAGTGCGTTAACCCCCAGCCTAGGGCTCAGCGCCCCCCACCCCCCTTCCCCAGCTTCCCAGCCACTGTGCTGCTCCCATTCCCTGCCCAGGATACCCACCCCAGCGAGGGTGGCTGAGGAAGCCCATGCAGCCCAGGATCTGCTGCCATGAAGCAGGAACGCCTTTACCCAGAAGGCCTCAAATCATCCTCCACTCTGTCCCAGACCCGTTGGCACCTCCATACCAATGGCCGCCACTGCCCTCTCCCTCCCCACCCTCCCACCCCCACCCCCACCCCCCGCCAGTTGCCATCCACTTCCTTCCCCTCTTGTATCCTATCCTACCCTGGGCCTTGTGACTGCCTGAGCAGAAGGTGGGGACACAGCCTGCTGATCCAGTCATGACCCGTGATTCTGTAATTGACAAATTTGCATATTCCCCTATTATTAGTTTAGATTAAGTTTTTCTTAAAATTAACAGGCAAAAGTTATTACATTTCACATATATATCAAAATATAACTATCCATCAATGGGACAATATTGAGAGACTTTTACACACTTAAACTAAAAGAAGTACATACGACTTTTATAAATATTAAACTAACAGAGCCCTAGCTGGTTTGGTTCAACCTGCAGACCAAAAAATTCCGGGTTCGATTCTGATCAAGGGTATGCACCTCAGTTTCAGGTTCCTCCCTGGCCCCGACTTTGGTCAGAGTCAGTGCAAGAGGCAACCAGTCGATGTGTTTCTCTCACATTGATATTTCTCTCTGTCTTTCCCTCTCTCTTCCACTCTCTCTAAAAAATCAATGGAATAGTATGCATGGTTGAAAATATATATATATATTAATGTCACAGAAACAAGTAAGTATTCATTAAAAAATATATATTGAACAACTGCATATATATATATATACTTACAAATACTGCATATATACATATATATATATATATATATATATATATATATATATATATTCCAAAATATATTTGAACAACACACATCAAATGAAATAGATAAAAATAAATCAAGCCCCATAAAAAATGTTTGATAGCAATTAATAAGACAAATGACAAAGATAAAGTAAGAGATAAAAGATAAAGAAACACAACAAAACTAAACATAAAAATTATTTTTAAAAAGAGCTTTTTCTACATGTTTTTCCATTGTGCAATGAGGTGAAGTTTGACAATTTTCTGTGCAGTGGTTAAATATTTTTAATTACATTTAAGTAAACAAATTTAAATGTTTTATGGCCCCCAAAAAAGTAAGTTTATATTCTTAAAAAAAGAAAGATAATTTTTGATAAATAACAATGAAAGGAACAAGAAAGAGAAGCAAAGATAAAATATGAGAAAACACAATTTAAAATATTAAAATATGGCAAATGAAAATGTGCAGTAAAAATTCTTGATGAAGATGGATAAGACAATAAAGAAAAGCATAAGGTAAAATTTAAAGAAAAACAAACAAATAAATAAATTTATACATATAAAAGCCTAAGCATCCAAACAACTGAATGATGGGTTACTATGATGTGCACTGACCACCAGGGGCAGAGGCTCAACACAAGAGCTGCTCCCTGGTGGTCAGTGCACTCCTACAGCAGGAACGCTACTCAGCTGACCAGCCCATCCTCGTGGCCCACCAGCCCCTCTGCAGCTACTCACTCCCTCAGTAGTCCTGCAGGTCCAATCTCCAGAGACTAGGCCAGGCACCGATGGACCGGTGCCGCTGGTATGATCCCGACAGCACCACTGGCCTCCTGGAAGTCCACTTCAGGCACCGTGGCTGCTTCCCCTCCCTAGATGCTCCACTCCACAAGACAGAAACAATATACAAGGGGCTGGCTGTTAGGTGGTTCCTGACAACCAGCACGAATGTCAGCAGAATGAATCCTGATCTGGGGCCAGCAAGGGCGTTTCACCACCCACCAGGAGAACCAGTCGTGTCCTGGCCGCCCCATCCCTCCCTGGGATCCCACCCATGCATGAATTCATGCACTGGGCCTTTAGTAGATAAATAAATATAAATTACCTCGATTGAAAAAACTGAAAGAAACATTCTTATAAAGGTCAATGATAATACAACAAACAAAAAGAAAGCACAAGCCCTAGTTGGTTTGGCTCAGTGAATAGAGCATCTGCCTATGACCAAAGGGTCCCAGGTTAGATTCTGGTGAAGGGCACTTACTTGGTTGTAGGCTCCTCCGCGGCCCAGATCCTGGTCAGGGCTCCTACAGGAGGCAACCAATTGATGTGCTTCTCTCACATTGATGTTTCTGTCTGTCTTTTCCTCTCTCTTCACTCTCTCTAAAAAACAATAGAAAAATATCCTCGGGCGAGGATTAACAACAACAACAACAACAAAAGCACAAGATAAAACACTAAAAAGAACATATGCCCAATGAAAAATGATTAAACATAAAACATCTATACTAATAAAAGTATAATGTGCTAAATAGACCCGATTGACCTGACATCTTCTGGATGTCCAACTTCCTTCCAGACAAAGCCACGGTGGTGGGGGTCGAGGCAGAGGCAGTTCGGGCAATCAGGCCGGCAGGGGAACAAGCAGTTAGGGACCATCAGGCTGGCAGGGGAGGGCAGTTGGGGGTGATTGGGCCAGCATGGGAGGACAGTTGGGGACAATTGGGCCAGCAGGCAGGCGAGCAGTTGGGAGCCATCAGTCCCGGATTGTGAGAAGGATATCCAACTGCCAGTTTAGGCCTGCTCTCTGCCTGCAGGATCAGGTCTAAACCAGCCAAGGGGTTCCAGATTGGAGAGGGAGCAGGCCGGGCTGTGGGACACCCCCCTCCCATGCATGAATTTTGTTCATCGGGTCTCTAGTAAAAATATAATTGGCCTCATGGGAAAAAAAAGCAAAATTAAAGTTTTTGATAACAATGAGTAACAACTAAAGGAGAAAGCACCCAGTAAAATCTAAAGGAACACAATGTATCTATTTCTTCTTGCACCAACTTTTATATATTTTCCAGAAACATACCAATTTGATCTAGGCTGAGCATATATGGAAGCAGTACTGTCCTCTGTTATTGTATTATCTTCCCCTGAATCTAACTTTGTTCCCTCCTCTTATATGCATTTTGTTTGTCTGCTACTTCTTTCTTTTTTTTGTGTGTTCCACAATGCTAGAGGCCTGGCAATGTTATTCGGTTATTCAATATGTTATTATTATATGTTTTGTTCTTATCTATTTTTCTCTTTTAACCTTATTTCTAAAGCAGTTGCTATATTTATTTTTATCTAGGTTTTTGTTTTTAGTTTCAAATCTTTATTCAGGCAATTACAGTTTAAAAATTATGATAACAAAAGACAACATCTCAGAGAAATATTTTTAATAAGATGTTTTTATTTTCTATTATAGATCAATAAATTTGTTTATTTTTTATTCATCCTGGAAAATAAGATGCAGAAGTAATAATCATTCACCATGTGCTCTTATCAACTTTCTTTAAAAAGAAGGCACTTGCTGAAACCGGTCTGGCTCAGTGGATAGAGCTGGACTGGAAGGTCTCAGGTTTGATTTCCGTCAAGGGCATGTACATTGGTTACAGCCACATCCCCAGTAGGGGGCATGCAGG